ATCTCCCCTAAATATGGTGTGCAATATTCAGTGTCCATGCTGTTAGTGCTTCCTATTGCTTCCACCTGCCCTGAATCAGCACAAGTATGCTTACAGACAAATAAAGAAAAGAAACCCCACTGAGTATTAAGCCCATTATAAAATTTTGTTGAAGATAACTGTTACTTTGAGAAAAATCTAAAATGCTAGTTGCAGGTTGTTGATTTGAAGTTCCTTCTGGGTGTGAGCTTTGCCAAATATTGAAATTATGAAATTATTGATTTAAATGTGTTTGACTTTTAGTATGCTAATATAGAAAATCTACCTTTTCAACCCAAAATGAAAGATTTCCCGCATTTATTCTATATATTCTCAGTATTTTTCTGTTCCCTTTCAGAAGAATGAAAACTTTCTGGCAGTGCCCTTGGTGAGCCTTGGGATCAGTCACCTCCTGCGAAGGCACATTAAGCTGCAGGTGCTTTTTATTGTGGTACAGTTTTTGCACACACTTCCAGGAAATAGAAATGCAGGAGTATGATTTTTTGCTTGGAGTGAAACTCCTGGCTATTTAATGTTTTTTGGTTTTTAGAATCACAGAACATGTGATTGGAATCTGATGGCTTTAATAATCCCAGCTGCCTGGATTCATTGCCCATTTTAGTCATGTGAATCCTCAATTCCTTATCGGAGGATTGTGTTGCTGAGATTTCATGAGGGAACCGATAGGGTTACTGATGCTTAGGGGAAAACTAGGTGGAATTCCCCTTCAGGAACAGCTGTGTTATGTGTTGGCTTTGTGAGGTCTGGGGTTTTCCATGTATTTTGTAGAACTTGTCATGCTACAGCAGATCATGTCTGGCACATCCTGACTGTGAGAATAAGAGAGGTGTGGTGTGAGGCTTGACTTCCAGAAACAGAGGATGTTAGCTGGGTAACACAAAACGTCTGCTTTGAGAAGTTTGGCTTAATTTTATTGGCTTGTCTGTGCTTCATAATGAAGGGGGAACAATGTCTTGTTAGCAGACCCCTGCTTCTGTAGAATGGATATGGTCCTATTAGAGATGCAAGGTGGTGTATGTGGAACTGAAAATTCATGATTGAATGCTTTGAATTATAGCAGAACTCAAGACAGATGTTGGAACAGAAATTAGTTCTTTTGTGGACAGTTGTAAAATAGATCCATTTGTTCAGTGATATGCAAATAGAGCTGGAAGCCAGATGGCAACAAGAGGAAAACTTGAATAGAATAGTTAGCCAAAGAGGTTGTATGATCTTTTCTGATATGATTTTAACACCAAATTAAGCAAACTTGCTCTAATGTTAAAGAGTAGGTGCAACTGCATGATCTTTTGATGTATCTTTCAGTGTGATGGGGTAAACTCTTCAAAATATATATACAGGAGAGACATCCCAATATTTGTGGGATTTTCTTACTGTAGTGCTTACCAGGTTAAGGGAAACAGCTTGTTCTCTTACTCTGCTTTGGGAAAACTTAATTAACCAAGAATGGTAAAAACTTGGAAGAGGGAAAATGAAATGTGTCTTTCTTGTCTTCCTTTGCCAAGTCCACTGGTTCATTCTAGATTAAATGTAGCTGCTGAGTTCCAGCAAAACAGAACTTTATATACAGTCAGGTTCTTAAGAAAAGTTTCTTTTGTCTCCTGTGGGGACTTAAATTTTTATTTATCCTATACCTTTAGAACATGGAGAGATGGTCCTGACTACTGTATTTTAAAGTTTTAAAGCTTTTCAATTTTATTAATAAAATGAACATTCCTTTATTTATAAAATGTTTTTACTGAATTGGATGGGAGCCTGTTGTATTTCAGTTTAAAGTTTGACTAAAGCACAGAGCTGAATCTATGTATTTGGTTATGAAATGATAACGAGTAGCTATTATGATATATCAAGGTGGTATATGGAAATACTTGATATATAATTTTTTGAACTATGGTTTGTCCTTATTTGGTTTTGGACCAAAAAGAACTTAAGGAAGCTTGACTGAACTGCTGAGTCCAACTGGGCAAGGAGGTACTTCAGAATATTCTTGAAATGATACAATGTGTAAACAAGCCCAACCAGCTTTTCTGGCAGGCAACCTTCTTTGCCACAGAATGAGTAATTCTATTGTAAATTCAGTATGAGGTGATGCAATAAAAGATATGGCCAGAAAAGTTTCTTAACAATGTTGGATGATAAAAGGAACCATTGGCACTGAGAAACTCCTCAGTCGTTACCAGTGAACTGCAGTTGGTGTCCACTAGGAGTCCTTGAGCACCAGCAAAGGCCCATTGTGAAGTTTGTTTAAGGAATGGGCAGTGCACCCCTCTCGGCCCCTCTCTCTCTCTTGGCCCCTCTCTCTCTCTCGCCCCTAATACTTCGCCATGATGCAGAACAAGTTTTGTACCCAGTTTTGCCCCCTATTATCCTGGCTTAGAATGCAGCTATTTGAAATAAATTGTTTCTAGGTGGAAATGAAAAGCAGCATACTAATGTTAGATCGACTTTCCTAATTCCTTTGACCTCTAGGAAGTACTGAAATAATTTCTATACATATAATTAAAAGTTACAGAGACAATCCCTTCAGTATTGTTTATTGCAATTTTATAAATTACACAAGACAGTGTGTGTTATGGCTGTGAAGCGACTGGTGCTAAAGGCTCTTGTTCTGTGAGCCCATGAGTCTTGTCTTCCAAAAAAAAGTGTTTTTAAATAAGTATTTTCGGTAGAAGCTCTGGTCTAGTCATATGATTGGGTCTGTGCATTTACGAAAAGTCTCTTGGCACTTGCACTGATACTGAGTCTGAGACTTTCTTCATGTGAATTCTCTAGGCAACAGTGAGGGCAAACTTTCGGGGGAAAAAAAACCCCACTTTTATATTTCCCCTTTTAAGGATTATACTTGGTGGAAGGTAGTTCTGCACAAGTAGTTTCCAGAGGAGCAGTTCTTGGCTTTTAAGGGGCAGAGCCTTTGTGCCTGTAAGAGAATTCTGGGCTCTTGTCCGTGGGCGCAGTCCTGCATATCCTGCTGGGGCTGAGCCTCTGCATTCATGGCTTTGGCAGCACAGATTGTGTTCTCAGCTCAGAGGAGACCTTCACAGCACTGGAAGATGTTTGAAGCATGAGCCAGACTGTAGGAACTTGGCTGGCTGTTTTGAAAAGCGATATTCCAGCACCTGAGCAAGTCAGCTTTTCCTTGGGAGCAGTGGCATTGCTGGCTGCCAAGTCCCAGTGCCACAGATCTGGCTCAGCTCTGTGCCCAATTGGATTTGTGCCTCAGCAGCGCAGGGGCTGCTGAGGCACAGCACACAGAGGAGATTCCTGTCCCTTCTTGGCTCTGTGAGGGCAGGATCTGTTCATTCCCATCCTGCTGGCTGCAGCTACAGAGCCGCCGTCACTTAGGTGCCTTCACTTGATGCCTTTTGTTACCTTGTTACCTCTGTGTGGATGAGGAAGAAATGTTTCTTGGGCTTTCAGCTTTCGCCTGACACAGTAGCTAAAATTTGCACTGCTTGTCTCTGTTATCTCTTCTTCCAGTGTTCCCCGCTCTTAGGAGTTAAAACATATTAACACCTTCTTGAAATAAATAAACTGAACAAAGTTGTCTTAAAGGCATTAAATTTGGATCAGGTGAGGAACATACAAATTCACTTGTGATACCAGTTAAGATGTACTTGTCTTTGACTTTTGTTCTTGACAATTAAAGCTCTTGGGGGATCCCATTGCTTCTTGGGTGGAGGTGGCTATGGTGAGCTGCTTTAGATAACGCTTGCATTTAGTAAACAGAAATTCTGTGTAGGGACCTACCAATTTACATCTTCCTAGTAATGTATATCCTATTCTGATACCTTCTTAATTCTTGTGTGGACCTCAAAACCTTCCCTATAATTTGTGGCTAGTAGGTAGATCCCAGAACAAACTGGAAAACTGTTTACAGTCACCACAATTTCACATTGGCAAGAGAAAGTAAATGCTGGTTTCTGCAGCCCCTTTAGGGATTAGGTGGTGCTTTCTTCTGGCTCTCCATTCTTTTCCAAGCTGGCATCTGACCTTCATGTTATGCACAATGTGTCTTCCATCTGTGGTTTTTGGTGGGTTTTTTGTTTTTTTTTTTTTCTGAGGCAGGTGAAGGGAGCATTTCATATGCTGGGAGGATTCCATGTCCAGTGTGGAAAGCTTGCACTCTCCAAATCTACATCATCACTTGAATGCAGCAAGAGCAGAGGGACATGTCCCAGCCAAACCAGGCAGCCTCATGTCTGCTCTGCCAACCCTAGGCTAATTGTGTCCATCAGACAGGCCAGCAGTGCTGCTCCTTGAAGCTTTATGTACTGCTGACACAGTGCTTAAATGTAGCACCTCCATTGCCTGCTCCAGCCAGACACTGACCATTCAGTCAGGAATGTTTATATATTGAGGACTGTCCCAGTGTTTCTCTTTTTGGGAAGCTATTTGCCAACCTCCACCAGTAGTGGGGATTTGCAGAGGATGGTCAGTGCAGGAGTTATAGATAGTCACCTATAGTTGCCATTCTTTCTGTGTGTACTGTGGGTTTTTTTTCCTTGAAAACCTGATCAAAGCATTACTTTAGGGATGCAGTTCAAGGAAGAGAGGTTATTGGGGAGGCCATAGTCTTATCCCTTCTCTCTATGAAAACTTGTCCAGCATGGGGACAGGAGGGCTGTACTAGGGTGCTGACAGACACTGATGAGAGTTCATGTTGCTCTGACCCTCTTGGCTCCTGCCAAGTTGGACACTGCTGCCACATAAAGCTTTATTTATAAAATATAAACCGTAATGTAAGCATTTTTAGTTTGTTCAGAAAGAGGCATAAGCAGGGAAAATTGAACAGTTGACTACTCTTATGGGATGAAATAAAAGTAGTCATGCTGTTGAACAACAGTAGCTCAAATCCTGCACAGGGTGAGTTGTAAGCAGATTCACCATCTCATGAAAGTGTTATGGCATAATTCAGTTATTTTGATCTGTTTCTAATTTATTGTCTTACTATTTTCTTACAGGCAGGCAGAAGTCCTGAAGGCTGACATGACAGGTAATTGCCTTTATTATACAGTTGATATAGCTTATTAATATTTGATTCCTGTTTTTGTTTTCCTTTTGTGTTCCTTTTGCTTATCATTCTTAAGAATTTTCTGGAAAGTGTGTGACCTTATGTTAAAGGCTTGTCCTCTGTATATAAATAAATAAATAGTATTTTAACAACTGTTTGTCTGTATCAACCCTTTTGTCTGTATCTAATACATATTTTTGAAGTTGACTTTGGATGTTATAAATATTTGGCGATGAAGGTCCTGTCTATGCTTGTCTCTGTGACTCCTGCCCAGACTGGCACAGGAATTCTGCACTTGGGATTAGCCATGATAAGGGTGGATTTAATGAACCTGGGTGAGGAAATGCTGATCTGAACATTATTATGTGTTGTGGATGTAGTAAGTTCATAATAAGCACAACATAAAGTGCAGCCCTAGAAATGCTATGAGCTGGGATTTAAGCTATATATATTAATAGGAAATGGAAATGGTTTCTATTAATGAATCAGCCCTGCTTCCCTCATGAACCTTTGCTCAACTGTGCTTGTCACGTTGGTATAGTGAAAGTAGTAGGCTGGTGTAGTCCCCATAGGAATATTAAAACCGCCTGGATCCACCTAATCCAACAGGAATGGCTCCACCATCAGCATCAGGGTGGTTTCTCTGGGGTGAGGCCCATCCCTTGTGTTCCTGCAGCCCCAGCTCAGGTGGTTGTAGAAGGCACAGGAAATTGGACTCAATAGCAGGGGGCAGTGTTTGCACTCACCCTCTGGGATGGGGAGCAGATGACTACTGAAGAGATGGAAAATGGCAAGCATGCAGCAGTACTTGCCCACAGTGTTCTCTAAATATCAACAGTGTAGGTCCATGCACTGTCCTATTTAGCATCCCTCCATGGATTTATTGTCTGCTAATTATTTTCAGGCTACACTGGAAATTTTAGTAAATTCATCCAGTGGCAAGAAATTCTGCAGCTTACAGAGGATCACATACCTCTTACTTGTTTTGTTTTTTAACTTGCCATCTGCAAACTTTGTTCACATCTAGTTCTGGTGTTGTAGAAGAGTCATCAGTTAATCAGTGAGCACACAATCCTCAACCTCTCTGTAGTTCTTGTATTTCACTATTCTGAGGAAACTGACAAAAGCAGATATTTGGTGGTGTGTATCTTACACTGAGCTCTATTCTTTCATTTTGTAAATGAGTGAAAAATCAGATTAACTCCATAGATTTGTGTGTATTTGTTTTGTGTTTTTTCTTTCTTGTTGCACAGATTCAAAGCTGGGTCCAGCAGAAGTCTGGACATCCAGACAGGCTCTACAGGACTTATATCAAAAAATGCTAGTGACTGATTTGGAATATGCTTTAGATAAAAAGGTGGAGCAGGACCTGTAAGTACCTCATTGAATTTGTGTGTGTGTATGTATGTAGTATGGGCTGGGGAGCAGGGAACCGTGAGACTTTGAGAAAAGCAATTGTATCCTATGGAATGATTGTTTTATTTCCTTTAAAATGAGAGCTATGTAATGGGTGAAACATGAGAATGCACTGCAGAGCTGATGAAGAGCATTCAGTAGGTTAGTGTTTTACCTCTAGCAGTTCAGAAGCAGCCATGTCATGCAGGAATGGGTTTTAGAGAACCAGATGGGGGCAGAGGAGCTAAGGAGCACCAGTCTGCTCTGCTGTCAGGGAAGGGCAGAAGGGCTGAAGTCTGCACTTTCCACAAAGGAGGAAATATGCCTGGTGCAATCACCTGGAGCTTTGAGCAAGGTCTTGACACGAGCCAGGGAGCCCGGCTAGCTTAGATGGTTTTTGTTTTCTCTCCGGCTCAGTGCCAAGGAGGGGTCCTTGGCTGGGCTGCTGTTTGAGTCCTGACCTGGATTAGAGCTCACAGCTCCACTTTGAACACGCGTGCATGGATCGGGCAAAGAAGCAGAGGAGGACTTTCTTCCGTTTTGCAATTCACAGATTTATTCTGCAAGGGTAAAGTCGGAAGAAAAGACAAAGCTCAGGGGTTTGACTGTCTCCTTTTAAAGGGTTAACGCCTCGGGCATTTGGAAGTCAGGAGGACAAGTTAGGAAATAGAGCCGGTGGGCATACAAACTTTCTACAAATCAGGTACAGACAGGTTAAGATAAGCGGTAACAGACATGGGAATTTTCTAATGAACTTCCGAGGATTAGGGGATATCCAACGGCGGGACAAGGACGGGGTGGAGCAGCGAAGGGGAACGCAGGGCGAGACAGAGTTACCTGAGCCGCTTTGGTTGGGACACAGGCAAAGCGGAAATGCACGGCGGGGAACTGCGGTGGCACCGGCTCGGGTATTTCCCGAAGGAAAAACGGAGCCGAATACGGCTCTACAGAGGAGCGGGTGTCCCGTGGCGGCGCGGGGGGGACACAGTGGCGCCGGGCCCGGTGGAGGCGCGGGGCCGGGGCGGACCCGGCGGGAACGGCAAGCACAGCCGTGGCGGGGGGGGAGGGTGGAAGGCTGGGGCCGCGGGCGGCCCGAGCCCCGAAGGGGAAAAGCAAACACAAAAACCTCTAATTTTGCTAGCAACTGAACACTCGCCGCAACAAGGTCTAACAGGAGCTGAGTAGCTGCTGAAGAGCTGTGTTTTAAGCCTGGTGAGATAGAGCTGGGCAGAGGGAAGAATAATCAGGGGAGAACTTAATAGGTTGCTTATGACACCTTACGAATTCAGCTGGGTTTTCTCTATGCCCTGAATCCATTCCCTGTTATTTAAGGTGCGGACATGGGTTGTAATAAGTTTAGTTAACAGAAGCATGTGGTTCTTTGAGTGTTGAGGGAAGCCAGATGAGTAAGCTGTCTGAGTTGTCCTCTCCACACTTCCAGTTACAGAATGACTTTTAACCCTCATTTCTGTACCCCACATCTTGTTTTAGGGAGGTACTTCTATGCTGCTTAAAATAGAACAATTGCAAGCAATATTAATGATGTGTTAGCCATATGCATCTATACAGGTATATGTTAGCTATATATATATATATTTCAGGATCTGTTTACCTGGATATGAGAGGTGAGGAAAAGTGGTTATTCCATATTTAACATTTGTTCTCATCTGAATGTTGTCTGAATTTGAATAGTCTTCATGTCTGATGCTATATAATTAAACAGTTCTTTCCTGTTGCTTATGCCATCTGCACAAGACACTTCCAAAGTAAAAACATAAATGCTTCTTTTATTTTCAGTTGGAATCATGCCTTTAAAAATCAGATCACAACACTCCAGGGTCAGGCGAAAAACAGAGCAAATCCGAATCGGAGTGAAGTTCAGGCGAACCTTTCTCTGTTTTTAGAGGCAGCTAGTGGCTTCTACACACAGGTGAGTTGCACAAAGTAGAGGATGGATGGAGGATCAGTTTTAAGGGGGGAAAATCTGTTCTTTGCCCTTAGCTTGCTGCTGTATTGGATTGAGCAGTACACCTTGCTGTGTTGTTCTCAGTAGGAGATATCTGTAGAGCTGATGATGGGCTTTCTTTTGAATTATCTTGAGCTGAAATTTCTGTTTATCTGGTAGTTGTTTTGGTGCAGTTTAGGTTTTGTTATAATAGAATATGCTTTAAAGCCTAAACCCCACTCTTTTGGGTAAGGTCAGAGGGTCCATTTCTTACTGTACTCTACTGTGACTGCTCAAAGCAAACATGAAGCAGCAGGAAAGGGTAGAATGGTACTGCTTTGCACTGTCTCTTGCCTTCTCGATGTGCATCTGTTGCCTTCTTGAATTACTGCCTGTGTGAATCCTCTATTAGGTCTAGCCTTCACTGGCTCTCCAGTCCCTCTTAAAGCCACTTACTCTATCTCTGCAGTGACCTGTGGTGAGGAATTTCAACTTTTAATTGTAATGTCTTGCAGAAATGACGATACAAAAAACCTCAAGCTCAGCAGATGAGTTAACTGATGATTGCATTGTACTCTTAGTTCTTTTTCTGTCATTTCTCTAAAAATTCCCATTTGGCTTCTCATCCCTATGTATGTGTTTGTGGGCCATTGCCTTCATTCCTTTTCATTCACTGTAAAGTGAAGGATAAGCAAGGATAGTCAGTTTGTTCTTGGATGAAGTTATTCAGGAACAGAAATATGCGCAGAAAACACAGATGCACAGGATGTGTGTGATGACCTAATGTTTTGTTCTTTGCCCCTTCCTTGTGATTCCTAAAACTGATGATGAACATTGAGATACAAGTCTTTATTTTTGACAACAATTAGTTCACTTCTTGGAACTTTCCTTCCCCTAGAGCAAAACTATATTGTTGAGTGCTCTTGGGCTAAGAATCTTTTGCAAGGTTTTCAGTTAATTGCCAAAGGAGTGTTATTCCTATTCATGTATTTATTTCTTACTGACATATTTTTGCCTACACTCTTTCCTACATTAGATTTCATTAGATTTCAGCTTTAAATTATGGAGAATAAGAGTCAGTGAATGATAATGGACTTAGAGATAACTTGCCTTTCTTCTCTTTTTTCCCCTCATTTGGTGTCTGCTTCAACAGCATTGTGGTTGCTGAATCCTCTCTGTGTTCAGAGTAAACTTCATCATGGCTAATTTACACTGTCTTCAGCTAACAGCACTCACAGTAGGTATTCATACTGTATCATTTCCTAGCTGGATTCCAGACATCTGCAATGCCAACCCTAGGGTACCCTTTTGGCTACCCAATTTTTTCCCTTCTGCATTTTTTTTTTTAATTTTTTTTTTTTTTTCTTTTTGAAAGCTGCTTGTTGGAAGCAGACATTTTGACAGGCTGTCATGGTTGCCACAGGTATTCTGCTATCTACACTGTTTGTCTTGCAGAAGCCTTGTTCTTTCTGGCAGTGGGTCAGTTACTTCTTTCTGAGTTTGACACTACAGACTGGGTCATCTTTCTGTTTGCTGTGATGTTAATCACATTTTCAGTCTAAAGCCTTGGCTCAGTCAAGGTACACGTTCTCCAGCTGTGAGGCCTTCACAAGTGACATCTTTGAACAAGAGCGTGAATTTTCTTAATTTGGTGTCTTTGAAGGTGTCAAGTTGCTCTCTTTTATCCAGCTTTCATCTGCGAGATCTCTCTTTTTTGCTTACTGTATAAAGACAGACCCAAAGGGGAGAGAGGTGTGACACAAGTCTCTTTCTGCAGCAAGCAAAAGCATTGCGTCACATCTTGTTGACAGAGTGTGTGTCTCTGTCAGCCATGGGCTTTCTCCATGCCTTTATCTGGAAGTGCAACCCTCCCGTAGATCTGTTTTATTTGGAGACTGAGCATGTTCCCAGCGGGGAGAAAGTCTGTTACTTCTTAACTGCACTTTTTAACCTAGAACTCAGTCCAGTACTCTTCGCTCTCTGGTTGCCATTACTCTGCTGAGTATTTGCTGGAGACTGTTAGGAAAAACTTCAAAAGTGCTTATTAGAATGGCAGAGTTGAAGTTTTCTTTCAATCATCTTTTGAAATACTTGATCAAGTAGCTGATGCCTTGTTCTTGAAAGAGTCTCAGTGTTGGATTAGCACGAATATTTACTGACACCTCAGCCACTGAACTGTTAGTATTGCCTTGCGTTGCTCACAAACTTGCATGGTTATGTTCCAGCTTCTTTCTGAAGTTTAAGTTGGGATTGTGCAGTTTTTTATGTTGGAACAAACTGCCTCAGAGGGTGAGGGATGTTCCTTTCTATTATTTTTAGAGAACAGTGTTGCTTCATCAAGGTATAAAACCCACTGTGTTCCTCTTGGCTGTCTTACTGAAAAACTAAAGCAAAAAGACAAAGCAAAACCATAAAACCTAACTATCTGTAGACCTCCCATACTCAGTCTCCACTGATAAATCTTAGTGATTTAAATATCATGAGGATTGAGTTGTTTACTGGTCTGGGATGCAGAGCTTTTCTTTACGGGGCAGATGAACAGTGGACACAATGGAAATCAATGAATTCCATATGGAGAATGTATTTTAAAATCTCACTTTCAGTAACTTGAGGTTTTTCACCTCAAATATGTTTAGCTCATCTGTGGTGACTACACCTCCAAGTGGTGCTGTTAGTTTTGTGACTTGGTTTTATGTCTTTCCAATGCCTGTCTTGAACTGCTGCTGACCCAGCCCCATGCTTGCAGTTATTACAGGAATTGTGCACAGTTTTTAATGTAGACCTGCCGTGCCGTGTGAAATCTTCCCAGCTGGGGATCATTAGCAATAAACAGACGCACACCAGCGCCATTGTAAAGCCGCAGTCCAGCTCCTGCTCCTACATCTGCCAGCACTGCCTTGTCCACCTGGGAGATATTGGTGAGTTTCAGAAGGAAAGGGCTGGGACATGAAGTTCTGTCTGTGTTCAGCTTCTAGAGATCTGCTACTGTGGCAACTTCTGGAACAAGTGTGCTACACTTTACTACTACTTTACTACTAGTACTACTACTTTAGTAGCTTATTGTGCCTCTGGTGGTTGCTGCAGGGGGAAAGATCTGGAAAGAAACTGTTCAGATTTATCTAGTGCATGTTACACATTGATACATGGAGACAGTTAATCACTGGCTTTCTAGTAATCTGCTAGAGTCTGTCTCCTAGCATTCTAATCATGTTCTAGCTGGTAGGCACAGGGAAATGCTGAAATACTACAAAAGCTTGTTGCAGCATGCTAGCACACTTCTCCATTCCAGAACACTAACATCTTTTGTACAAGGGCACCAGTTAGAAATACAGTCTTTCATAAATGGGGTTTCTTTTTTACATTAAGTTCAGCAGGTTTCTTTCTTTTTTGATTTAAGTAAAACTTTGTGTTGTAGAAAGTTCTCTTTTCACAGAGAACAACCTAAAAATAGATCTAGTTGGTGATTGTGCAAAGAAGGATGAAAAATACTTTTTTAGCTCTCTGTGTGTGGTGTTCTTGGCACTATGTCCGTAAGACAGTCTTAGGTCTGAGGCAAAACGGGCACCTCAGAATTGAATGTGTCAAATCTTGGTGCTGTGTGGTGTGATTGCACATTCTTCTCATGCTTGTTCCTGAAATACTAGTGAAATGCTCTTCAGGTAAGTTTTTTTGAAACTTTTTGAAATTTTGAAAATTTTTTTGAAAGTAACTGCGGGGGAATGGAATTTTGGTCCTCAACTTGGGTTTTTTTGCTGTTTTCTTAGCTCGCTATAGGAATCAGACCAGCCAGGCAGAGTCTTACTATAGACATGCAGCTCAGCTTGTCCCTTCTAATGGTGAGTCTGGGATACCTTTTCAGTTCATAATTCCAAAGGAAGATTTGGGGTATTGTTTTCTTCTGTGGCAGTTGAAAACCTAGGCTTTTATATATAAATATCCCTCCCCATATTCTCCACACAGCCATACAATAAAGCCTTACATGTCAGTAAGTCATTTAGGTAATGATTATTTGCTTGATCTGTGTTGCTTCCTTTTTGTGCAGATTTAGAAACAAGGAGAGTAACACACAGCTTTACTCCAAGGCTTTGCTACTGCTGTACTCTGTTACATTTATACATTATAAAGAACAATTAATGAAAACTTGTTTTACACCAGCATTGGTTTTTATCTTTTATTGTTTATTCCCATGCCAATTTATAAAGTTTAGTAGCTAAAATGGGATTTTTCAAGTTGCTGATAGGAGTTAATGAGTTCTTTAGTTCAGGGATCTAGCTTTTTAGCTACTGTCTTCCAGTGGCCCAAAATGTAGGGATGGTGATAGAAGTATAAGTCACTTTTGAGCTGGGCTATTCAAACCAGTAATTCAGTTTTTTAACCAGTAGCATTCTAACCGAACAAAATGAAAACTTAACCCTCTGAAACAAACAAGCAAACAAAATCAGAGACCTCCCAAAATGAAAAACCACACAAACCCCAAACAAAACAAACAAACAAAAAACCACAAAAACAAAGCAAAACCAAAAAAACACACACACAAAAAACCCAAATAGCTGATGCACCACAAATTTAGAAGCTTTTTCACTGAAGTGGTACAGATCCAAGGCTGGAGTGAAAGGATCAGCAGATGGATCTGAGCCTTGTCTGTTGAAGAGCTGAGGACTTCATGCTCGCTTTCCGAGTGACAACACATACTCTGAAATCTAGCATGTTTTCCACCAGGACAACTTGTTGGATAACTTGTCTTTTTCTCTCTTAGGTCAGCCTTATAATCAGTTGGCTATCCTAGCTTCCTCCAAAGGAGACCACTTGACCACAATTTTCTACTACTGCAGAAGCATCGCTGTGAAGTTTCCTTTCCCAGCTGCCTCCACTAACCTACAAAAAGCACTTTCTAAAGCACTGGAAAGGTGAGACTAAGTAAATTATTGTCACTCAGATAAGCTGAAAGATATTTCTTCTAAAAGTACCTGCCTAGTCTGAGCATCCTCACAGGTGTATGGAACAAAGAATAATTTATGATGCTCCTGACTGTGATTAGTGAATGCAGGAAATAAGCACATTATGCCAACACAAAAGGTAGCTTTGCTTCATGTGTCATCACAAAAAGTAGCTTTTTTCCCCTCCCTCATTTTGGAGTAATTCTATAGTGTTACGTGCAGGTGTGTGTAATTCCAAAGACTGAATGAGGTGTTTCTATTCTAAATGCAGTCGTGATGAGGTGAAGACTCAATGGAGTGTGTCTGACTTCATCAAGGCCTTTATTAAATTTCATGGCCATGTGTACCTGAGTAAGAGCTTGGAGAAACTGAGCCCTCTTCGAGAAAAGCTGGAAGAACAGTTCAAGGTTAGTTCTAACAACATATTAATTAGTATATTGACAATATTTTTAACAGCTAAGTTCTGTAATTACAGCCCAGTAATCATTCTTTCACATGATGAAATACAGGAAGCTCAAGTAGCCAGTTGGGGAAGGTTTGCATTGCAGCTGACATTGGATAGTTCTGGTAACTTCTGCCAAGATTAGGGATTTTTCCTATTTGACACATGGTCTATTGTTGGTAGAGATACAGGGGAAATCATTGACCACTGTTGATTCTCTGCTCTTTAACCTAGATGATTCTTGGATACCTGTGAAAAGGACTTGATTCATCTGTCAAGTCTGGGCTTGGTGGCCTGAGGATTTCTGAGAGCTTAATTTTTTGATGGCTTTCATTCACTCCCAGTGGTTATTAAAGCAGCTTTTAATCTGCTTCAGAAAACTTGCCTCTCCTGTTAACAGTTTGACCTTGAAAAGTGTCCCATACAACCTGAATCTGTGCAGAGTAGAACTAGGCAGAACATGTGTTCCATGGAAAATACAGGTGTCCCATTGATTATATACCTAGTTCATTTATGTTGGACAATACAGCAAAGATCAAAACAAAAGGATTTTAAAAGGAAGGTATTTATGCAAAGTAGTAGTTTCAGAGAGGACATAATGTTGACTGGTAAGTGCCTTTTGGAAACTGCTCTGCTTCAGCTTCCTAACTTGTGGAAAGAAGCAGGGAGGATGGGTATGTTCAGTGGAGCTAGTGGATGCTTTTCAAAAATAGGAAAGGGTAATGTGGTCTGACAATATAAAAAAATCACAAATGTTCTTTACATTTACATACACAGTGTGCTTTTACACTTCTTTGTCTTAAATTGTGCTGCTACAGCTAGGTTCACACTGTCTTTAAAATAAATTTCAAAAACCACAGAACTTGCTATGAATTTACTTTCAGTGTGGGCTGCTCCAACCCTGGCAGTTTGTTGTTTCAAAATGAACTAATTGTATCTCTCTTTCCATATGTGATGCTGGCTGTTGAACAAGTACTGTTTTTTCCAGAGTGCTTATAATCAATAATTATGAGCATTGCTCAGACATATGGAACAGTCTTCATTTTCTGGACTGATCCAGAGTGTTAAAACAGCTAATTGAACCCTGCTTTTGTTGTTCAGGTTACTTTTTTTGTTGTTGTTTATATTATGCAACATAAAGCCTAATCTATCAGAGAGCAACTTTTCTGGCTTTAGTAAGTTGAATGTGGATATGAAGTTTGCTGTATGGTAGTGAATCAGTCTAACTTTGTGACTCATTTGAACTAAGGAGAGCAGTTGGAGGGTTGGGAGCAATCAATCAGGCCCTGGGTGGTTCTGCTGGCAGCTCTGCCTGTCTGAGTTGTCAGCTGTACAGTGCTTCATGCCCTAAATGAGAGAGCCAAGGGTGAACGTGCAGCTTAAACCTTTTCCTGATGCTTACACTAGTTAATCCACCTGATTCCCTGATTGTTGTGTCTGGAGATACATAGGCTGAAATTTAGGATAGCTCCTTTTTTCCCCAAAAAAAGCCTTGAAGTCTCTTTTCCTGTCCTGAGAAAGGTGTCTTTTCTGGCATAGTTACTGAAAGGCATTTTTAAATAGCTCTCACTAATTTAGCAGGCATTCCGTGACCCATGAAGTCAGATACGGAATTAGTCTTTTATGCATAACCACGCAGTAGTTAAATTTTCCTGGGGTGTTTTTTAAAAATGTCACCTTCATGCTGGTTCTTTGAAAGGCAGACAAACCCAGTGGATCTACAGCCCTTTGCAGTGCTGTCAGTGCACATTCAAAGTTGCATTTGCTCTGGAAGAGAACCATATGCAAAGGGGATGTTGATTTCTTGTGTGTCTGTGCTGGTGTACAAGCAAAAACCTTGTGCTTAACAGTGGGGTCCTCCTGGGAAGCCCAGTGCTGTGCTGGAAGGGATGGCCAGCATATAAAAATAAAATCCAGAATGAATGTTGCCTAAGGGCAGAAACATTAGTCAAGCAGTGAAGGAGCAACTGCCAATCCTTTCAAGCATGTGCTTTGCCATCTAAAAATACATACACCCTGTGTCTTTGCTGCAGAAGCTGTTGTTCCAGAAGGCCTTCAACTCTCAGCAGTTAGTCCATATTACTGTGATCAACCTATTCCAACTCCACCACCTGCGAGACTTCAGCAACGAAACAGAGCAACACAGCTACAGCCAGGATGAGCAGCTCTGCTGGACACAGCTCCTGTCTCTCTTCAGTAAGTGTGGGAGCTAATTGATTTTTGTAATTCTCTTGATTTCAATGTGGAATCCATTAGTAATTTCCTGTTATGATGTAGCTTAATGGCTCTGTGAGGTAAGTGCTGAGAATAGACATTAGGGAGAAAGTTGTGAGAGATGATGGTCACACAGGATCATTTATGTCAGCAGTGCTGACTAATACTGGATTTCTGTGTCCAGCCTTACTCTGTTTGAAGCTTTACAGAATTCTGCATCATTTTCCTGGTTCTGAAAGAACATTTTAACTTGGGTACAAAACTGGATCCAGCTTGGCGGTGAGTAGTACCCCTCTTGAGGGGCTGCTCCCCAGTTGGCTGCATACAGTTGGGAGTTGCTTTGAATGTAACTGGTTCTGATTCAACAGGACTGAAGTTGAAGTTGAGTCAGCAGGACCTCAGCTACTTCTTTGCCTTTGGGTAATATCAACCAGGAGATAAGTGAGAGTCCAGAGCATTTTAGACTCTAGCCACATAATGCTGATTTGCTTAACCTGACTGAGCCTGTTGTCAGCTTGGCCTTGTTTGTCAACACCTAAGTTTCTGACTAGCTGGATTTCTCCAAATTCCAGCCTGGAGTTGATTCTGAAGGCACCATGGTCACACTGGTATGGTTAGTCTTTCTAGCTTCTGTGCTTTCTAGCTTCTGTGCCCTAAGGGGTCTGGGCTGGGTGCCTGCCTGCAGAGCTCCAGTACATTTGTGTGCGTGCTGGTTGAAGTGAATAAAGTGCAGGTAGGTAGTTGAGTTGATAATTTCTAATAAATAAGTGAGTGAATATTTTTGCACTGGGCTTATCTCACCTGATTTTTTAAACTTATCAAAATTACTTGCCATGACAGTTGAAGGGATATAAACATCAAGACTCTGCTGCATAGTAAAAAACTATTAAAACCCTGTGTTGTGACCTATTGGTGGATTGATTAAGATGAGGTAGCTGGGCTGCCTTGTTCTAAAAAACTAGCTCTTAGAATAGGGGTTTATGGGGTGGATATATTTGATTAGGTTATTTGGTCAACATTGAAGCGTCATTCCCACATCATGGAGTTTTTTTTCTTTTGCTTTTTCCTCTTACTCTGTTTGTAGTGTCATTTCTTGGAGTTCTGTGCAAGTGTCCTTTACAAAATGACTACCAGGACTCTGGGGCTTCATATCCTCTTCCAGCTGTGAAGGTTTCGATGGACTGGCTGAAACTTAGGCCCAGTGTTTTCCAGGAGGCAGTGGTTGATGAAAGACGGTAGTGAGTGTTAATCTTTCTCTTGTTACATTTTCTTGAATGACCGTCCTAATTACTGTTGATCCACAAATTGTGGCAAAAGTGATCATACAACTCATCATTATGGATACCAAAAGGATAGAAGGTTTATGTGCCAAAAAGTTAATGGAGCAAAACATGAGACTTGTTGGTTACATGAGCAGATTGATTCTTTTAATTGTCATTAGGTTTGCTGTAAGTTTTTTACAATCAGGGGGATCTATTTTATAATGTCCAATTTGAGCATAACTACTGAATGTTCCTGTAGTCTTATCTAGTATAATGATTTCTCAGATTACTGGGGGAAGTAGCAGGAGAATACTCGCCTTCATTTCGTGCCCTAATCCATCACTTGGGCAATGCTGGAATGTAGTCACCTAGGAATTAAATTCAGTTTAGTAGAGGGGCTCTTTAAATGTCAGTGCAGGCATTACTGTTCCGGACTGTTGCTCTGATTTTTCACTTTTGCCACTAATCTCATAAATTAAGGCTTAAATTGCTCAGAACTCACCTTTTTTTTAATAGTCTGTTAACTTTTCTTGAATTACTGTTATTCAATAAAGTGTTTCTGCAAGGTGATTTCTTAGGATCAGAGTGACTGTTACTGGTGCATCTGGATGAGTATTGTTCCTAAGATGGGTACTCCGAGGAAAGCAGTGTGATGCATGGGGAACAGGGGTGCCTGTAACTTTGGTTTGTTAAATAAGAAACAAAAAACCCCGTGGAGTTTTGGGAGCTTAAACCACAGAATTCCTAAAGGCAAGATTAAGGAAAAGAGTTCAGATACGGTTTTGAGGTGGTGGTAACAATTGCCATTCACACATCCTGAAAGAAGACTTATGCCTGTATTTTAATAGGCAATATACCTACTTGATATCAGGTAGTCCCTGCAGAGTGGACATGCACATAGTAATTCATGGAGTAAATGACTTTAAGCTGAAAGAGTGCAGATTTAGATTGGTTGGAAAGAAATCCTTCGCTGCGTGGGCAGTTAGGCCCTGGCCCGGCTTGCCCAGAGAAGCTGTGGCTGGCCCGTACCTAGAAGTGTGCAAAGCCAGGTTGGATGGAGCTTGGAGCAACCTTGGGGTAGTGGAAGGTGTCCCTGCCCGTGGCACAGGGTGGGAGGTTCCTTCCAGGCCAAACCATTCTGGAATTCTCTGAAGGAGGCCATTTTCTGGACAACATATTGGCTTTACTTGCCTCATTGAAAACCTCTGGGGTATTTTTCCTTCTTTTGCTCCTTGTCAGTGATGGGAAGGAGATGTTGCTCAGTGTAATGTGGAGAATAATCATGAAGATCATGCTGTCTGTGCCTGCAGCCATATGGGAAAGCATCTGAGGGTGTACAGTGCTGTTGGGGGCACAGTGCATTCTCCAGGCTATGTGCTGGATGATGCTGGAAGCCTTGCTGAGGAGGACACATTCATTTCTCCTACACTGAGCACAGTGGGCATCCTCAAATAGTTTTCTGTTGTTTCCATGGTGCCCATCAGTAAAGCAGAAGGATTTTTGGACTTTTGGGTGGGAGCTTTTAGCAAACAGGAGCAAGCAGCCTGGTGGTAGGAGTTAAATGTTAACCACCTATGCAGTGATCAGTGTGATTTTAAAATTGCTTGCTCCGGGGCCTTTGGGAAGAGTTTCCAGTCATTGCTTGTTACTGGTATTGTGAGGGCAAGGCAGGGGACTGCAAGTTCCCCTCTAGTTTAATGATCTTTCTCAGTGCAGCTCTTACTTAGAGTCTCTTCCCTTGGTGGTAAATGCTCCAGCACTACAGTGCAGTGTTCTTGTTCATGGAGCAGAAGTACTTCTGCACAATTGTGTTGTTTTTGCTGCCCAAACTGATTCATTGACTGTGCCTTGAAAGCCATCAGCTTTGAACTGGAAAGCATGAATTTCAGACAGGTCCTCACAGAACTGGCTCATGCTCTAGGTTTATCTGGTTAAATTCATAGCAGGCTCTCTGGCCTGTTGGATAATGAACACTGTGCTGTGGGCTGGTTTCCTTAGGAACTTTAGGTTGGCTTTTTAGTCGTAGTAATTCTTTCAAGAAAGTGGTCTTTTCACTGACACTGTGAGAAACTTTTCTTGGGAATCAGAGGATTAATGTAAACTGTGGTGGTAAGAGCATTCAGTGTTTTTTTGGTAAAGCAAACACATCCCATGTTTTGCAGTTTTCACTTAGGGTTGTCCTATTTTCTAATTTTTAGCATATGGCCCTGGCTGATCTCTCTTCTAAATAGTTTCCAACCTCATGAAGAAGATCTATCCAATAATAATGGTAAGGACGCTTGTAAAATGTGCTGTAGAGAACTGCGAAAGCCAATGTTTATCCTGCTTATGTGAGAAGTTACAGTTGAAGAGCAAATAAGGAACCAAGTTGTCTTGTACTAGTTCATGTGAATACTTTGCAAATGATTTTTCTTGTTCTGAGCAGACTGCTCTGCTTTATCATTCCTGAATTCCTCAGATTGCGGGGTGGACCGGTTAATAGGCGGCTTTAGTATGTATAGAGACTGTGCTGTGGTATCTGTTGTGATACCATGCTCAATGCTTTCATACTTTCCTTACGCTGTTTACTGTCTGTTTGTCAGCAACTCCCCTTCCAGAAGAATTTGAGTTGCAAGGATTCCTGGCTCTGAGGCCCTCATTCAGGTGGGTTGCAGTTTAAGGATCCTGCATTCTTGCTGATGTCACAACTTCTACAGACATTGGCCTGTTCCCTACAATATCTTATTTATGTATGTTTACTGCTGTATGGATTGATACTGGTCTCTTCAAAACAACTGCAATGGACAGTGTAGCCCTAAGAAATTCTTGAGGTTATAATACTGCTCATGTTCCTGCTGAACCTCTTTAATGGAGATGAATCTTACCAGATGAGAATTACATATGTAAATCAGACATCTCTTAACAGCTATGTTTTGAATAATATCTGGTAAAAGTTCACAGCTTTTAACAGAGCAATGCTGACACATTATATTTCTAGAAAAATAGGATATTGCAGATGGTAATTGTGTAATTAATATTCCCTCTTCTGTGTCAATACTAGGAACTTGGATTTTTCCAAAGGCCACCAGGCAATTACAGGGGATAAAGAAGGGCAGCAATGTCGGATACGTCAGCAGCGCCTGATCTTCACAGGCAAATGGATTGCTGATAACCAGCCAAGGTAATTGCAAATACTTTGTGTTTCCCATGCTACTGGAAGCTGAGGTGAGACAGGTGCCAGTATGGAATGTTATTTTTCTCTCTGTTCAACACAGCAATTAGCTGTAATGTGAGCAGAAGATGCTGACAGCACTAAAAATATGTTCTGTTGGTCAGCATACTATTCCTTCACAGACTGATCATGATAAGTAATGTAGTTTATGATGTACTTGCTTTTTAATTCCTTCCTGTCTTTTTCAGGTTGATTCAATGTGAAAATGAGGTAGGAAAGCTCTTGTTTGTGACCGAAATCCCAGAGCTCTTACTAGAGGACCCTAGTGAAGCCAAAGAGAGTCTCGCCTTACAGGAGACATCCATGACAGAGCTGCTGTGTGCTGATGGGAGCCCTGGACTTAAATCAGTGCTGTCCTCTGGCAGAAGCCTGAGCAACAGCTGTGATGCAGGCGAAAAACCAATGGTCACCTTCAAAGAGAATATCAAGCCCCGGGAGATGAACAGAGAACAAGGGCGGATCTACCCCCCAAAGGACATGGCGAGGGAGAGACGGGACTTTAGCAAAGGAATAGTAGCAAATAAGAATGATGGGAAGAAGGATAACAATAAAAGAAAGAATGAGACCAAGAAATGTGGCCTGGATAAGATGCAGGAAGCAGGAAAGCAGAATGTGGCAGTTCAGGTAAGCCTTTAGCTGAGAGGGATACTGTTCCTGAGGCAGTGTCATGTTGTCAGGGCAGTCACTGCTTTTGGAGAGTATGGTAGAGCTGAGGTCTTGCTTTGGACCGTGCAGCTAATGCTCAATAATATAAAATATTTCTACCTCAAAGACCAGGTGATGGTGATCTTGGGATCTCTTTGCTTTTCCTTGATGCTATCTCAAAAAGAGAGCGAGGGTGAAAGAGTGTAATGAGAGGTGCTGTATGTCTTTAATAACAGATTTCTACCCATTCCACAAATTATTTAGGCCACCAGCGCAGTTCATGTGGCTAGGTTGTAGTCATGCTCTTGCCATTCTGGGGACTGTTGTGAAGGAACTGGGTACTCTGCATTTTCACTTCAGTTGACTGGTGCACATTCAACAAACTGAACATGTCACAAAACCACCAAATTGTATATATGGGGAGTAAGATCCTCTGTAGTCTGGGGATAATCAGCTGTCTCTCTGTTGAAGTAAGGAAAGCTACTATGCTCTTAAATCATCAATCTGTGCTCAGGCACTTGGCCAAAATGGTTTGTTTTCACATTGGCTGCTGTTTTACCAGTTGTATTTTTTAGGGACATGTTTTTTTATCTATTTCTTTGAGCATTACAAATGAAATATATCAAGTAAACACTGAATTTGCTAGTCTGCCTTCCACTGAGTCATAGTAAATGATGGTAGAGAGTTTCAGGGCTGATCTGATCTGTACCTGGACAATTTGGCTGTATCTCTCAGTCATTCCCTGATGATGACTGGAACCATTCAGTGATAGTGGTGGAGATTTCTGTTATTTCCCTAGAGAAACTGTGTTAGTTCTTCACTGTTCTTGCAAATGGAAATTATTTGCTAATGCACTTTATGTCCCTTGTCTCTTTGTAAGCCCATTACTGCTGCCTAGGACAGGTCTGCAGAGTAACTCTTCCTCTTTGCAGCTGTTCCAAAGGCCTGTGCAATTGAGATATTGTCCCCAAGCTTGACAAACCATCTCTTTCAGTTTTTCCAGCTTGTGTTGTTTAGGAGCCTTGGATTATTCTCCCTGTTTTCCTTCTGATGATTTGCTGTTAAACATCATGGTTGTGAAATGTAATGTCTGAACTGGCAGCATATTATTCAGTTGGTTTTGCAGGGGAACCATACCTTGGGGTACAAAGAGTTTCTGTAAAGGCTACAGAAACCAGGGGGCAATCATTTTTGAGTTGTGGAACACTATTCTGGTACCTGAAAACCAGTGTAGGTGAGTTAGAATAGCAAGCTTCTTATTTATTTGTCAAATGCATCTGGAATGTCATTGCAGGTCTGAATGTAACTCCCAGTTTTGATCTTTGTGCCCCTTTCTTGCAAAATAAGGACTTCAGGTGGATAAAAACCAACCAGATCTGAGGACTATGTGTAGCTTTCTGGATAGGGATGATAGCTTATTTGCTTGATTTACTCAGCTGTAGCAGAATTTTCTCTGATGTTGTTTGTTATTGTTTGTCTCTTCTTGAATAGAAACTAATGTTGGCTTTTTAATGCCATCAGCTGTATTTATGGCAACAAATCCAGTGAAATGCCTTTTATTTTGCATAATTTGGTGGACTTGCTTATCCAGACTTGCTCCAGAATAAAGGGAGGGCTTGCTTCCCCCTACACTGAGAAACCAGAGTAGGTTTCATACCAGTTGGTGGGCTGTTTGCATTCTGCTTTGGCACTCCTGGCAATTTCACGCTTTATATCCTACATAGTTCATTGCCTTCAAAAGCTTAAATGCTGCAATTCCTACTTGGCAGAAATGTGAAGAATATAGTAGAGAAGTGATCAGTCCTGCTTTGTATTTACTTGGGAAACTTGCATGCTCAGGCAGGACGTGATCTGGGTTGAATTTCTGCTCTCTAGGGAGGATAATGGTAGGAGCCAAGGAAGTTGAATGCAGACTAACTCAAAATGTAGCACACTCTTAAGAGGTCCCTGTGATAAAATGGTGCCTCTCTCAAGCCTCAAGCATTGCCTAGGAGCATTTAGGACTATTGTGAGGGTCAATATTGGGTAGCATTGACACTTTTGAGGTGATAACAAATAGAAGCAAGGAAGGAGCTTAAATTTGTCTTGATTAATCTATTTTAGTGATTCAGGTTTTTATAAAGTTAACTATAAATCATGCAGTGGGGAGTTTTGAAAGCCATCCTCTGGAAATATGTTCTAGCATACTTGAGTTTTTGATGGATAGAGCTCGAGTTGTAAAATGCCATGGCAGTAAATGTGTCTTTGAATTCTCCAGCATTTCCGTAAAAGAATGCATTGTGCTTGATAGGGGTTATAAAAATATTTGGCTTATTGTGGAAGGAAAAGGGACAGCACAATGTAAGTTAAATATTCTGAATGTGATGGAGGGTGAAGAGATGTGTCATGAGCAAGGGCCTGCATTGTTCGTGGCGTTTAGCATCAGCCAGAACCTTGAGGTAGAGTTCCGTCCAGACTTTTTCTATTGGGAAATGAAAAATCCACCCAAATCTCCCAATTTTACAAATGCAGAAAGAACTCCCTTAATTTCTAAATGGGGAAATTCAATTTGAAAAAGAACTTAGGAAAGGATTTGAATGCATATATCCCTTTACTACTGTAATTTGGCAGAAAACAACTGCCCTGTATCTCCTTTCAACTCAGCAGCACTAAATGTCTAAATAACCTCACACAGTTATGGTGTGGGGATTATTGTTATTGTTTGGTTTGGATTTTTTTAATTTGATCCCTGACACAACCCCTTCTTTCACTCACATTTGAGGCTTGGTGTCAGGTTTGCTCCTGGGCCCTTTCTGTATTGCCCGGGTTCCTTGCTTGCTGTCTTTTTTCCTGCCTGCTCCATCTTGCATTCCAGGCAGTTCTGCTGAGCTGAACAGAAAGGGAAAGTAGTCTTCCCCTCTGTCTTCCTCCCCAGGAAGACCCAGACTGCGGGAGACTCAGAATAAGGTAAACATTACATTACATTCTTCTCTCTGCCTTTAACTGGTGCAGCTCTTTTAACAGAACGCCCCGCAGTTACACAGTAAACTGAATGAGGTGAAGCACTTCTGCTGTTTGTCTTATATGCTCTGGGTCAAAAGAATTCCATAGTGTGGAGGAGCATGTGCATATGCATCACCATATGGATTAGGCTGAGAGAACTCCCTAGGAAGAATGTGCCAGTGTTTGTTTTTTAAGGTGCTGCAGGTAAGTAGCATGACTTTGGTTGAAGCAGTGCCCTAGGAGAAGCATAGTAGCATCTGGACTTTCTATTTTTAAACACTGCAGGTGAGCAGCATGGTAAGTTCCTTGGACGGTGTGAGATACTATGTCTGCTTCTCACTCTCATGCTAGAGGAGGAGCCCCTTGCATCTTCTGAGTAAATATCCTTGAGTGCTTTTGTGAGGGGAGAAGTGCCTGAGGACATGCTGGGTAATCTGCCTGAGGTCAGTGAGGAGGACTCTGTGTTCCAAACTTCTCTCAGTTACTTAGGGAAAAGAAAATAATCGCTTAGACAATCTGAGAGTTTAGTTTTTGGCTTGAGACATGATATGGTTAATGTGGAAATTTAGGAAAAATGTTTTAATTTCTTCATACTTTCTTTCGCATCAGGTGAAATCCCAGACAGAGATGAGGAAGACTCCAGTATCTGAAGCCAGGAAAACACCTGTAACTCAGACTCCAAGTCAAGCCAGCAGTTCCCAGTTCATCCCTATTCATCACCCAGGAGCCTTCCCTCCCCTTCCTAGCCGGCCAGGTAATTTGCATCATTCTTTTGAACTGTCAGCTATTGTTGACTGAAGAAAATCCTGTAATTCTGGTTGGTACAGCCTCTGGAAGTTGGGGCTCTGTTAATGTACATGGATTTTCCTGTTGAACATCTTATCAAGTAGTAAAAAGGGGCATAGCAGAACTGAAATGAGCTAAATAAGATTCCTTATGCTTTGGAATCAAAGTTTGTCATGAAATCTGCCACCTGCCTTCTAGTTTAGTGGGTGTGAGATCAAGGAGCTTCACACTAGGCTCTTCCTGTAGTTAGTCTGAACATGACAAAGCTTTCTGCTAGCACTGCTTCTGAAGCATTCCCTGTGCTTCAGACTCCATTGCAAAAGATCAATCACACTGCTTGCTTTAAAACTCACTCTTTTTATGTAGTGGTGCTCTTGCTTCAATTTGAAGCTGTAATTTGTGTGGTCCTGCTTGCTGCTGTTGCTGCACTGCATGTCCCATTTTGCTGTGGTGTCTGCCTGTCATGCCTTGCTATCCCTCTTTGCTTATGGAATAACTGGAAGCTGTATCTTCCCTGCACCTGTTACATGGAGCTCCACTATAAGACAGATGGGCATGTTCCCCGTCCCAAAGTCGGCATAAAATCTGTCCTGTGAGACATAGAATTAAAGCGTGCCTTCCAAACCTGGCTTTTCAGTGTAAACTGCTGGGAAGGAATTGATCTTACAGATACGAGGATTCATTTGGTTATCCTCTATTTCTCTCTAAATTGATCCAGGGACTGGTGATCTTCTGAGAGGAGGTAGTGCACTTACTGTCTTGATTGCTTCTGTTTGTTCCTACAGAAGTTTAGTCCCTGAAAATTTATTCGAAGGGGAGGAATCTTTGGGGGTAAAGCATAAAAGACCCAAGAGCAATGAAAGAAAAAGGTAGTGGGGGGTCAAAAAAAGCATGGAGGCTGGGGGGGCAGGGAACACAGGGATGTGGAAGCATATGACCCTCAGATGCTGCCATGGTTGACTGTTATCAGTGCCTGAAATATTGCAAGGAAACTCCAAAACAGACTCGGAATCCTTGTGTGATCACAGCTATGCACATGCCAAGGTGAGGAAGGACATTGTAGTGCATGTGTGTAGACTCGTGCCTCCTTTCTTAAATGAACAGCATGGGAAGAGAAACCCCCACTAAAAATTTTCTGGAGGGACTTGTATACTCTGACAAATTGTGATTAAAGGTGTTTTTTTCATCTTTTCCAGGATTTCCTCCTCCAGCCTATGTTGTCCCCCCTCCTGTGGCTTTCTCCATGAGCACGGGGTACACCTTCCCAAGCGGTGTTTCTGTCCCAGGAACCTTCCTCCAGCCCACAGCTCACTCACCTACAGGAAACCAGGTGCAAGGTGGGAAACAGTCCCACATTCCTTACAGCCAGCAACGGCCCTCTGGACCAGGGCCAATGACCCAGGGACCTCAGCAAACACCACCTCCTTCCCAGCAACCCCTCTCATCTTTACCAGCTCAGGCAGCAGCACAGTCCGCAAGCCAGTTACAGGTCCAAGCTCTGGCTCAACAGCAGCAGTCCCCCACGAAAGTTGTCCAGGGCCTGGGGAAGAGCCCACCACACCACTCTGGATTCCAGCAGGTAAACTTGGCCTGTGCTACATGCTGGGCTTTATTTAAAAATAAGTGGCAACATTCAAGATTTGTCTTCCTGGATTACCTTTCAAAATGGTCATTAAAGAATTTTTTTGATTGTGAACTTCTGGGCAAATTTGAAAATGAGCTGAAGTTTGGTGGGTGTGAACATATGATGCTGTAACTGAAAGGAAGGTATGTACTGGAATGGAATGTCTTTTCTGTCATCTGTTTGCTGTGTGTTTCTGATATAGACAAGCTATTGATGTGGTATGTCTGTCTCAGACCTTTCTAGTTTTCTTGTGTGATGAGGACAGAGTGTGAACCTCCATCTGCACTCTCATTTTGGCTAACTGGTTGCAGTGTTAGTTCCCTTACAGCTCTTAGTTCCTTTGCTCACATTGTGCTGGAGAAAATCTCCCTTCTGGCAAATCTGGACCCAATGGTGAGATCCTGTTTATGTTCTGGGCAGCAAAATGCTGGCTCAGTACCTTACTAAAGGTTTAGTTTTTAGGCTTTTGGGTTAAAAGGTACTAGATAGAGTAAGGATTATACTTGGCTGTTAGTTTAAAGCTTGACTAGAGAGCATTAGATGCCTATGGAAATTGCTTTTGATGAATAACACAGACATTCCACAGACATTCTGATTTGCTGTCACAAATAAGCTAGGCTGACAGCTTGGATTGAGTTGGGCATTCAGGTAACCTGAATTTTTCCTCTCTGCTGCTGAAATCCTGTGTCTTTGCCTCAGTATCCACAGACAGATTCATCGAAGCAGCTCTGGAACCCCCCTCAAGTCCAAAGCTCCCTGGGGAAGATCATGTCTGTAAAGCAGCCCTATTACCTGCAGGCCCAGGACCCTCTCAAACTCTTTGAACAGTCTTTACAGCCTCCTGTGATGCAGCAGCAGCCTCTGGAGAAAAAAATGAAGCCTTTCCCAATGGAGCCATATAACCAGAACCCCTCAGAAGTCAAGGTGCCAGAGTATTACTGGGACTCTTCCTATGGCATGACTGACAACAGGGTGATGACCCAGCAGTCGAATATGGACCGCAGGGGGAAGCGGCAGGGAGTCTTCTGCTCTGAGCAGGATGCTGTCTCCAGGATGACCTTTGAGGTAAGATCCACACTACAAGTGGGAAAAACTAAGGCTCTGGTATTCCCGACAACTCTTGGCATTTCCCTGTTTCAGGAATGCCTTGTGGTCCCAAGTAGGTCAATGTGAACTTTAGAAGAGACCTGAGCATCAGTACCTGGGGTTCCAGCACAAAGTAATGAATTCTCCATTTTAGTAGGCTGTGTGTAGGATCACTCTTTTGAAGATTTGGTTTCAAGTAGATGTAAGTCTTGTTCAGTGTGGATGTGACATCCATCTCTGCGCTGTGTCTGCCAGGTGGAGAAACATGGCAGCTGATAGTTTTGGGGAAGATTCTTGTCTGGCAACTGATGAAAACCATAAAAGCCACCCAAATAATTGCAGTTGGATTATTATACTTTAGGTGAACTCCGAACACTGCTATAGTCAATTGAATGGCTGAGACTGCAGTAGGTTGAGCAATAAAGGATGGTAGCAGTGGTCTTGTCTTGGATTTTTTGTTTGTTTGTTCTTCCTGAAAACACCACCGCACTAAAAGAGCTAAATGGTTTCCTTAGCCCCCAGTTGCAGTAATGGAATACTTCACTTCTGTTTATGTACTTATGCTTCATGTTGCTGTTTATAAACCCACCAATCTGTCTTACTTATTAACAGCCCTGGAGTCTGAGTGCTTTTGGTGATGTTTATAAGAAGGCTTAAACAAAGGCCTTTTAAACCTGGTTGGGTGTGCCTCTGTAAATGCACTCAGGACATGGAGAAGGTCAGCTGATAGCACTTGGCTCATCCTTCCAAGAGAAAAGCCAGACAATGTACAGGAGTCTGCTCCTACCCTGATGTCAGGTTGTGTTTTTTAGATGGAGAGAGGGTCAAAGCCTTGTTCTTATTCCTAAAAAGGAAAGCTTGCCAAGGTGCCAGCACATTGTGCTATAGAGAGAAGCTATGCCTGTGATGCTTGTGCTTTAAGCATCCTTCAAAAAAGTAAATATGTCCAGTCTGACCAGCACTGAGCAGATTTTACTGGCCCAGGGGGCTGGTCAGCTGTGTGTTGGTCAGCAGCTATCACCAGTGGAAAGAAATTTCATGGGATTTAAACTTCACAAGCAGAGAAAATAACAAGATGTAACGTAATTCTACTTGAAACCTAAATTACTCACAGGTCAGCTGTAGAAGAATGATTATAAGATTTTGTTTGTTGTCCTTGCACATGGTAATAGGTTTAGTATGTAGCATGGAAGCAAGGGGAAGCATATGCTCTGCTAATTAAAACTCCCTGCTGTCACTTTGGTGCGTGATCCTCTCCCCATGTGCATTTGGCCGTGTGGCTACTGGTTGTTTCTGCTCCAAGTTCTCTCAGTCTGTGCCTCAGCACCATTCTCACCTCGCCCTCTGCATGCTGCTTTCTGCCCTCCTCTTGCTGTTCTCTCTCCTGCTCTGGGTGTTCTTTCTGCCTTCTGTTGTCTCACTGTGCTCATTTCTGTCACTAGGACCCCAAGAGCTCCCCTCTGCTTCCTCCGGACCTGTTAAAGAGTCTGGCTGCCTTGGAGGAGGAGGAAGAGCTGATTTTCTCTAATCCTCCTGATCTTTACCCAGCTCTGCTGGGGCCTCTCGCCTCTCTTCCTGGACGAAGCCTCTTTGTATGTATTTGATGTAATACTGCTGCTTCTCACTCTTAACTGGCATCTCTTTCTTCTGTGAAATTATAAGAAATATGAAATTCCTTTCTCTCCCCCATCCCTCCTGTCCACTTCCCTGCCTCACCTTAGAGCTAGTTTTCACAGGGGTGAAAACTACAGCTTTTTGGCTGGATCCTGCTAATTTGTTCAGAAATCAGAATAACTGGGGTTTTTGTAAGTACAGTCCGCAGGACTGTACATCATGATACATCATTAACTGCACTTGCTCTTCCGCAGTTGGATGGATTTAGTAATAAAGGGCAGGGGGGGCACTGATGGGGCTGTGGAGAGCCATCAGAACAAGGGTGTAGTGACAGGATAAGGGGGAATGGCTTCAAACTGACAGAGAATAGGTTTAGATTAAATACTAGGAAGAAATTCTTCCCTGTGAGGTTGGGGAGAAGCTGTGGTTGCACCATCCCTGGAAATGTCCAGTGCCAGGTTGGATGGGGCTTGGAGCAACCTGGGATAGTGGAAGGTGTCCCTGGGCAGTGGGGTGGAATGAGATGAGTTTTAAGATCCCTTCCAACCTAAGCCTGTGCTTCTGTGATACGATTCTATGATTATAATCTGCATATTAAAATTCCATAGAGGCAGGGGGATGCTGCCCTATTCAATGCAGAAAAGATTGCAAAAAGAGAAAGATGGATTTGGAAGAAATTAACTGGATAAATACACAATAACTCTCATAGAAACACAGTCATTTTTGACAGAAGGATTTCTTTTCCTACATTTTTTTGTATTAAAACCTTCCTAGTTCACTAGCTTGGGGGAGGTCTCAGAGCCGTTCAATTCTTTAATCACCTCTGAAAGTGCAGCGTGCCTTTCTGCTATGTTCATTAAATCATACTCATTCAGATAAGTAGCTGTAACAAAGAGCTATTTGTGACTACTCAAAATCTCTGGTTCCGTATCTTCCTCAGTTATTTTACCTGCCATCCCAAGGAGCCAGTTGCAAAACAGACACTCATTTCTGTCTCATTAGATAATTTTGCTAAGAAACTAATAGCTGCTGCTTTAGCAGCTTCCTTTGAAGCTCCTACTGTTGTGTCTGCTGACAAATGAAGGAAATCCTTTGCTGTGCAAGCTGTGTGGTTATTCAGAGTGGGAATTTTGTCTGTCTTTAAAAATGTGCTTTCAAAGTGATGAGCTGTCACTTTGAAAAATGTAACAAGCTAGGGACCACTTGCTAAGAAAATTAGGCTGTTTGTCTTAAGTTTACAGGATGAAAATAAAAATATTCCAGGTACTGTGGCTATGTTAAAGACAGAGGGACGCTAGTTCTCGTTTTTGTGGTTTGAATAATAAATTTAAAAACATCTGACATGCTGAGCTGGTGAAAGAGCAAGAGGGGGTTTATTTGTAACAAGACTACAGCTTTTATTTTGGTTCACACGTGTTTTTACTTGTGGTTTTACTAATTCTGTGGCTTGGTGATCCAGATCCTGGATTTGGTGATGTTCATCGTCTACCAGCCAAGCTTGGTAATTTTTTTTTTTTTTGTTTCTGTCAGTGATAACTTAGCTATTTCTTCTCTGAATAGGCTCTTTTCAGAGACACTGTTTTTCACTCCTTCATCATAGTAAGAACCAAACAGAAAGACAAGAAATATGCTGGAAATAACAACTGTGTGAGAGGGAGGTGGCATGATAATGGAAAAAAGGTCATGGTCCATAATGTCTTTACATGGAAATAAAAAGTCGTGGAGAGTTTTGGAACCTTTCTTTTAGACATTTGGGTTGGGTTTTTTCCTTCTTCTCTACAAGTAATTTGTAATGGAAATGAGGGAGTGCTAAATGACACTTGGGCTACTAAACTTAATTTAAAAAGTACTTAGCTGCTCTAACTAAGAACATCCCTACAGCAGAGATGTTCACAGAACTGAAAAAATACTCTGTCCATAGCCACATACAAGAGTCTAATCTTGTCTGATGGAGTCCTCATGTCACTGGGAGAGATCCTGTCTCACTTGTACAAGGCTTTCTCACTTGTACAAGGTTTTACACAACCATAAGGTATTTTTGGCAGGAGTCTCCTCTTTAGATGTATCAGAGTATTAGACTTTGCATTTGAAAACCTGTTCTAGCACTGGGGTTTGTCTGAGTCTCTCAGCTATCATGTTTGTTGATTGGTAGATTATTAATTACAGGTAGTAGGAAAACTACTGATTTTTTGCACTTGTTAGCTCGCCTCCCCAGTCCTCCAAGGTGCTGGAGCAAATTCAAGACACATTGTAAATGTGACCAAAAGCACTTTGGCAGTTTCTGATTACACACTTTCCCCCTGGTCCCTACACTGAGTACTAACTGCGCTTTTCCCCTTTTTGGTTTCTGAAGAAGTCCCTGCTGGAAAAACCATCAGAATTGATGTCTCAGTCATCATCTTTCCTGTCCCTCAGTGGCTTTTCTCTAAATCAGGTGAGTGACAACCAGAGTCCAATACCTTTTTCTGCTTCAGCTTGTGGTTAAGCCAGTGGGAAACATGAAAGAAATCAACATGGATGTGTGATTTCACTCTGTATCAAGCTTAATCTTTGCCTTTATCAGTTTTCTTCCCAAATTCATCTTAACTATATCTCTGCAGATGTACTCTTGAATCTTGCTGAGTTCATGAACCCTTTGCTCTCAGTGAAGTCATGAAATAGACTGAAAAGGTGCATCTCAGGGTGCTGTAGTGTGTAGGTTTTTATTTCCAGAGCAATTAATTATCTGTTCTCTTCCAGAGAATTGAGCAGGGTCTTGATACAACTTTTCTGAGTACTGGGAATCTGAAGATTTTGTGAAGACTTTGCAATCCAGCCAGGAGAAATCTGTCCTGATTCAGAATGTGGTGGATTTAATGTTAAATGGTCAAAGAAGATGGGGCTGGGAAGTGAAAAAGAAATTAGGAAATATTTTGAACTATAATTTTTTCCTTTGTACAGTCTCAGTATTTGAAATAAGTATAACACATAAGCTCTTACATTTTTTGCTTTTTTTCAGGAAAGATATCCAAACAACAGCATGTTTAATGAGGTATATGGAAAAAACATGAATACCAGCACAAAAGCAGAAGTCACCCCTTCAGCTGCGCATCAGGAGACTTCACTGTATTCTCTCTTCGAAGGGACTCCATGGTCTCCATCCATTCCAGCCAGCTCAGGTAATCCTGGTACGGCATTTCTTGTGTCTAGCAATTTAAGAGGATTTGAATTAATTCTAAACCAATTGCAAGTTATGGGTAACTGGAAATTAAAAAAAAAAAAACCCAAACTTACTTGACAAGGTCTCTGAAGGTTACTGTTTTACTTTGTGTCTTCAGAAATACAAGGGGATTGTGTAATTAATATAGTGTAAAAAGTGGGATTTTAATTGAAGTAGTTGAGCAGGATAAATGCTGTAGAAGGTGATAAATCCTGAAATCTCTAACTCTGTTTCCTGACAGCCATTTGGAACTAGTGCTTTAACTCAGATATCCATATACTTTGTGTTGCTTTTTTTGGAAAAAGGAGGAACTGGATTTCATAATGCAGATATTTGAAAAAGAAACTGTCTGAGGGAAGAGTGGAGGAAAATACAATAGTGGGTTTTGTTGCATTCGGTTTTTACTGTTAAGAAGCACATAAAACAAACCAGCTTCTTTGTTAGTAATTATCTTAAAGGCATAAACCATAACTATTATGTCATAATTTTATTCTCACTAAAAATCCAGACGAGTGTGAGAGGAATTAGTTGAATCTAAGAAATTAGTGGATTTTAAATAACATATGCACTGGATGAGATGTTTGGTGGGACTTTAACAACCAACCAGGAAAAGCTGTTGTGGGTGAAATGGAGGGAGTTGCAAAGTGCTTTTATTCTAGCAGGATTTTTTGGCTCACGTGACTTCAACTCCCTCTCCCTTCACCTCTTCATTTGTTCCGTTCTGCCTGTTTCATGCTCCCTCTCCTCTTTTGCTCACTATTGGGTTCTGGTCTGAATTTTAAGACTCATATAAGTGTAGAACATTCTCAGACTTGGGAGTTGAAGTTGTAAACTTGCAAACTCCTCAAGTTCTAATCTAATTTTTCTATTGGTTTGTCAAGCTTGGAGACAGTTACTCTTTTAGTTTGAGACAAGTTCTTCAAGAGACATGGGGGAAACTGGCTTTGCCTAGTCAGCCCTCATGAAGTTTCCTGAGTTTTGTTTTTCTGGTAAGCATTAAACACAGTTATTCTATTCTTGTAGATTTTTCACTCAGAATTTAGGAATTTTCATTACACTTATGCAATGGAGGGAATAAAAACTGACTTTCGGCATTGTAGCAAACTGGGTGATAGCAGAATTTGCAGCAGCACTAAGAAATTCAAAACTGGGATGCTCCTGCTGTCTCTGCTGACCATTTTTCCTCTTCCCTTGTAATCTCTAGATCATTCAACACCAGCCAGCCAGTCTCCTCACTCCTCCAACCCCAGCAGCTTGCCAAGCTCCCCTCCAACGCATAACCACAATTCTGTTCCTTTCTCCAACTTCGGTCCCATTGGGACTCCAGACAACAGAGACCGGAGAGTCACAGACCGCTGGAAAACAGATAAGCCAGGCAAGTGCTGGGTTCCAGGTTAGCATGGAGCTGTCAGACACCGTCATCTGATGATGTTTGTTTTGCACTGTTTTTGCCATGTCACTTTGAACTTGCCTTTCTGCCATTTTAGCAATGGGAGGGTTTGGTCTGGACTATCTCCCAACAACGTCATCCTCTTCGGAGAGCAGCTGGCACCAGTCCAGTGCTCCCAGTGGTACCTGGGCAGTCCAAGGCCCTCCCGCCATGGAGGACTCCTCAGCTGTGCTTATGGAGAGCCTGAAGGTGGGTTTGGTTGGGGCTGTGCTCAGGGACAGGTCTGCAGGCTGGACAATCAAGTGATGGGCATTAGCCTGTTGGAAGCGTCAGAATTCACTGCCCAATGCCCAAAGTTTTTCCTGGAGATCACTTACACAGGCATTGTGGGAGGTATCACCAATGCAGGAAGATGTCCATTTGAGATTTTGTAGAACAAGCCCAGGCTGGCAGAATTGGAAGAAATTCTAACATTAGCTTTTTTCTAGCATTTAGACTAGTCTAAAATTAGTAATAGTTAATGTGGGATGAATTTTTGATGAGGGTTCTGGGGGAGGATAAAGTTCTTTTTAGAAGAAAAAAAAAAAAAGCCTCTTTCTAAAAAGCCTCTTTTTAGAAGGTCTTCTCTGAAGCCTGGTTAACTTTTTGATAAGCCAAGTATGACTGATGAAGAGGGAGAATATAGAACATGGTGTCTGCTTTCCCATCTGGCAGAGGGGCTATGTAATGCAAGGAGGTACTAGTGTTGACTTTGTTTTTAGTCCATCTGGTCCAGTTCCATGATGCACCCTGGCCCCTCGGCCCTGGAGCAGCTGTTGATGCAGCAGAAGCAGAAGCAGCAGCGCGGACAAGGCGCCATGAATCAGCCGCATTGAGGCAGAGGAGACAACCTTTACAACGACGGCTCCATAAACCATGGCATGTTGGGTCTGTGGGACTGGCACACACAGTCCTGTGCAGGTGGCAGCCCTCTCTTCTGTTCTTGCTGTCAGGAGGGTGTAAGTGCTCCACCAACCCACTGAGTGTGCGCAAAACATCTGCAGTGCAAGCAAACAACATCAGGAATTCTCCCATCCCCCGGGTCCTTCGGAGGGAGAGAGGAACTGCTGTTTGGCTCACTCAGTAACCCAATATCACCGCCTCTCACCTTCTCCATTGTGCATGTCCCCAGCCACATGGGAAGTAAAAGCTGAGAGCAAAGGGCAGATGGGAGAAGCCAATGAGAACTTCTCAATCCTTTTTCTCTCTTTGGGGAGATACAATAGGAATCCATTAATGATTGCTTTGCTGACTGAGAATGTAGTTGAAATTACTCCTAAACATCTTTATTACTATCTCAGTAGTAAGATCACACTGAATTCTGTACACACATGTGCTTCATAGTCAGTGTGTAGCAATGAAAGCCCCAGTTGCTGCTCCGGTCACAGTGGCTGGTGATGAGGTGGGGCTCTGTGTCCTGGACTAGCAAGGAGTTTCATGAAAGAGTCTGGCACTTGGCATCACTTCACCCAGAGGCTTTGAGTGGGTTTGAGACTCCAGCATGAAATGCCCTTCTCTCAGTAGGTGTTTGAGCTATAAGGGGTGACATGGGGCATCGCAGCACTCTGCTGAAAAGCGAGTTAACTGCCATGGGGTTTTAAATTAATGTGTAATTCCTGTACATTTTACTGTAGCATAGTGGCTAGCCTCACAAAGGGCAGGCTAGTCTGTGCATTCACAGCCTGACTCATTTTAATAGGTAGGTAGAAAGCTTTCAGTGTTTTGTTTTGTTTTTGTTTTTTTGGGTTTTTTTTTTT